CATCCACCCATTCATCCATCCACCATCCATTCACCCTCCCACCCTCCCACCCATCCATCCATCCATCCATCCACCATCTATCCACCAATCCATCCATCCACCATCCATCCATCTACCCACCCATTCATCTTCTTGTCCATCCATCCATCCATCAGTTCATTCACCTATCCACCCATCTACCATCCATCCATCCATCCACCCATCCACTATCTATCTGTTCACGCATCCACCATTTATCCACCCATCCCCATCCATCCACCCATCCATCCATCTATTCATCCATTCATCCACCTATACATCCACCCATCATTCATCCATCCATTTATGTCTCTACCCATCCACACATCCATCCACCAATCCACCCACCCACCCACCCATCCACCCATCCACCCGTCCACCATCTGTCCACCCATCTATCCATCCATTCATCTTCCTGTCCATCCATCCACCCGTCCATCCATCAATTCATCCACCTGTCCACCCATCTACCATCCATCCACCCATCCACCATATATCCACCCATCCATCCATTCACCCATCCACTGTCCTTTCATCTACCTATCCATTCATCCCTTCATCTACCTATACATCCACCCCTCATCCCGTCCACCATCCACCCATCCACCCATCCACCCACCCACCATCCATCCAACCATCTGTCCATCCACCCCACTCCCTCAGGATTTATTGAGCAGCACCTGTGTGCTAGCTTGTGCCAGGAGCTGGGTGTACAGAGAGGGAAAGATACCACCTTTCAGTCAAGGAGCCCCAAAGCAAGTATGGGGAATGAGGTGTCTACGGGACCAACAGGCCTGTGGGAGGTGCAGACAGTGTTGGCAACACTGCCCTGCATTTGATTGTGGCCCTCCAGGGCTAGCCTTGGGTCCCCTGTACCCAGTGAGGATGCTTACAGCCCTGGGATACCCAGGGAGCTTGGGGTTTGGCCTTGGGATCAGGTAAGAATGTTAAGATCCCAGCCCTGTCTCTGACTTGGTGGGGGCGTGACCCAGGCTTGTTCCTGGTTCTTGGCTTTCACTTAGCACTCCCTGATGGCTGTGCCCTTGACCACCGCACCTAATGGCCATCTTCTTGTTTCCGCAGAGTGACTTGTTGGATGTCAATCAGATCATCAAGGACTTGGCCTCCATGGTGTCAGAGCAAGGGGATGCCATCGGTGGGTATCTGTGCTACCCTCTGAACCACCTGCCCCACAACCACATGCCCTTTCCCCCAGGTGTAGGCAGGGCTGCCTCCTAGATGAACGAGAGCCAGGGTGGTTCTGGAGGTCTGAGCCTCTGCTGCCCCTCCACTCCATGTCCCCAGGTCTCCCCAGCCCCTCAGGAAGGCCAGGGTTGGGAAGGCTCATGCAAGAGGGTGGCCCACCCATTCTGCTCATTGAAGAGTCTGGGCCTCCAAGCCTCCCACCCTGGGCCTTCGTCCCATCAGAGGACTCCCCAGGGTGAGGACAAACTGTCCTGGGTGGGGGAGGGGTCAAGGCTGCAGTGGGTGCCCCAGCAGAGAGGGCTGGACATGTGGAGCCCAGAGCCACCTGGAGCGGGCCCCTGTCCCTGGTTTCTGTGTTCCCTCCACGTGAGACCTCAGCCCCACCCAGCCTGGTCTCTCCACCCCAGGTGGCCACATGGTTCTTCTGCTGCTGTCCCGAGGGCCTGGGAGCCCTGAGTGGGCGGTGTAGGAACCATGGTTCTCTGGTACAGAAGCGTGGGGCTGACTCCTGGCACCGGAGCCACTGGCCAGCACAGTTAGCTCCCAGCCAGCCTCTGCCCCCCTCCCCGTTCCAAGGTTCTGAGGTCCGTGTGTGTCCTGCTCCCCACGGGGCAGCCTGGCTGTCCCCCTGGCTGTGTTGCACCCCCAGGAGAGGAAGGGACCCTGGGGCTGCTGTCCAGCACACTCGCCTTTCGCCCTTTCTCAGAGCCTGGGCTGCGTGCAGGGCTGTGCTCAGCGGCTGTGCAGTGGGCTGCCCCAGCATGCCTCGCGCTGGTCTCCACAGGCCCCTGCCTGCCTGGGCTGCACGTCCTCCTGCCCCGCGCCCCTGTCAGCCTCAGCATGGCTGCTGCAGCCATTCCCACCTCTGGCTGGCTGTCTCCGGGCGGGGTGTGCAGAGTGTTTTGTCCACTCCAGATGTCACCCAGATGGTCACTCAGTCCCAGTGACAGACTGATGGGGAGGGGCCATCTCCAGGTGCAGGGGGGAAGAGGGGCAGGCAAGGGCTGACTCGTGGCCACCGTGGTCAGGGCCTGGGGACCCTGGGGCACCTGGAGTGGGACACCTGGGGCCGAGAGCAGCTGAGACCGCAGGACCCCACGGTGTGCTGCTGTGGGTGATCCAACCGTGATGGATGATGGGCAGGGGCCCGTGTGCCCCTCTGCAGGGACCATGGAGGCTGTGAGCCTGGTGGTGCTCGGCTGGGCCCGGCCCGGCCCGTCTGCTCCCCAGCTGGCCGTGGGCCTCTGCCTGCTCCCTCAGCCTCTGGTGCCTTTCCAGGGTCCGGCAGCAGCAACACGTCCCGGCAGAGCTCCAGCCCAGAGCCAGCCGTGGCGGCCCTGCTGCCCGGGCTGGGCTGTGCGCCCCTGCGGCGGGGCCTCCACTCCCGCACCAAGACGCGCAAGCCCAACTTCAGCCCCCAGGAGACGGAGGTGCTGGTGCAGAGGGTGGCACGCCACCACCCGCTGCTGTTCGGGGCGCTGCGGGGCACGCCCTCCCGGAAACACCGCGTGTGGAGCAAGATCCTGCAGGCGGTGAACGCGCTGGGCTACTGCCGGAGGGACCTGGGCGACCTCAAGCACAAGTGGAGGGACCTGCGAGGGGCGGTGCGCAAGAAACTGGCGGAGCGCCCGCGGGCCCCTGGCCTCATCCTTACCCCTGTCGAGCGCATGGTGGCCGAGACCTTCTCAGCCCCAGCCCCCCTAGGCGAGGGCCAGGCCGCCGAGCCCCTGCCAAGTAAGTGGGCCCCCTAGGCCTGCCTCTGTGCTGGGGTTCCAGTGAAGGGCCCCAGGGAGCAGGACCCTTGGGGAGGGCTGGGGGCCTGTGGGTCTGACCAACACCCACGTGTAGATGGGAAACGGAGCCTGGGGTCCGCGAGGGGCCCACCCACCTGGGCAACAGAGGAGCTGGGGCTCAGAGTCAGTCTCATCCTGGCCCCAAGCTGGGAGCCCTTCTGGGGGTCCCCCCACAATGACGTAGCACAGCCAAGGGCCTCCAGAGGCTGAGGGAGCAGAGGACAAGGGGCCATGCTCCCCTCCCTGTCCCCACCTGGTGCCACTCTCCTGGTGTGGGGGAGGGGGACCACCTTGACCCCTTCCTGTGCTCTCGTTATGGGGGCCCTTTTTCCTGGGGTCACTCAGCCCCCAGAGTAGACCAGGGCAGTGTCCAGCGGTTCTCAGCTTCCCAGGGCACACTGACCCCCCACTCTGAGCCCATGCGCCCGCCTATAGGCCCCCTTATCTGGAAGTTTCTGTGTCTGGTGAGGAAGGCATGGGGTGCTTGGTGGGGTCTTCCCACTGCACACAGCCACCTCTGGCCTCCAGGGTGGTGCTGGCCTGGACTCCTGGTGCCACCTCCTTCTGCACCTCCTCCTGCCGCTCCTCTTCCTCAAGACACCTCTGAATGTCCTGGTCAGTCTGCCGCAGCGGCCGCACCCTTCCTCTCGGCCAACATGGACTCTTTGCTTCCTGAGGAGCTGCTGGAAGCCCCTTGGGGATGAAGCCTGGAGCAGGACCAGCTCTCTCTCGAAGGCCACAGCGTGGACCACAGGACTCAGCCTGCACACAGGTGCCCCAGCGGATGGCTACAGCACAGCGTCTAGTGGGCCCAGTGGAAGATGTGTGCAGACGCGCCGTTCCCTGGGGGCTGGCCTTGGTCATGGGCCTGGGAGACGGTGCAGGACAGGGCCAGCCTGGCAGGCCAGGGGAGGCCGCCACAGTCTCCTACAGGCAGGGCCAGACCCAGTTTTGGGACGCTGCAGGGCTGACACCCCCACCAGGCCCACCCCACGAGTCCCCAGCCCTGGAGCCGGGCAGGAATTTGGTGGCTGTGTTGCTCTTGAAGGTCACTGGTGCTTGGCTCAGCAAACTGGCTAATGGAGGGGTCCAGTCCAGCACAGACGTCCCTGCCTGCCCTGCTGGGCCAGGCGCCCCCTTCCCTAGACCCTGCAGCCCCTGGGCTTGCCTCCGTCCAGGCAGCCAACTGACTGGTTCCTTAGTGCTGTGAGCTCCTCCTGGGAGTGTCCGTCCTGGGACTGTGCTGATTGTCACTGAGTGACCGAGTGAGAGGGAGTGGCCTGGGGCCGGACCTCCCTGACAGGGCTGAGCTATGGGTCAGGGAGGCGGCTGCAAAACCTGATTTGGGGTGGGGAGTGGGGGGTGGGTGGCAGAGACTACTGCCGCAGGTCCCACCTTCCTCCGTCTGGGTCAACGCTCGCCTGGCGCCTGGGCAGGGTCAGGCCTGCAGGGGCCTCTCACGGCCACAGGGGCTGAGGATAGCCAGTTGGTAGAGTTTGGGGCCTCCATGGGGGGCTGAGTAGGCAGTTCTCTGGCTGTGCCTTGAGGTGCACCCCCCTGCTGCCTGTGAGTGTTTGGGGAGTGGTGCTGAAGGGGGTTCTCTTTGGCCCCCCAAGGCCTGGCCTGGAGTCTGGGTGCCCCATAGTCTCTGGAGCAGAGGCCCTGCAGGACAAGCTCCCGCTGAGCAGCCCCTGTGCGGGGCCTGGGGGTGAGTGGAGGGCACCTGCAGATTTGCCCCTGACCAACTCGGGGTCTTCAAGATGAAGCAGAGGTGGTTCAGGGCCTACGAAGCATCAGGGTGTGCAGGCCAGGTGGTGGGTTGCCGCCCGCCCGCCTGGCAGCCCCTCGGGGAGGGAGCTGGGTCTGGGGGGCAGGTCTGCTTGTACTGTGGCCCAAGGCAGAATTGGGTCTGATCTGGGGGGCGCCCTGCAGGCCGAGCATGTTCATTCTTGGTCTGAGGTGGCCTTCGGCTGTGGGATCGCTTGCGTCGCCAGGGCCTGTGCTCGGTGCAGGCCAGACTCGGGCTTTGTCGGAGCCTGAAAGCAGAGTGCCGGCAAAGCCCAGGCTCTGTGCGGTTGCTGGACGGAGGCAGGACCCAGCTAGGAGCGTGGCCCCCAGCGCCTGGCACTGGTCCAGACCCTGCCGTCTTCCCATGCGTGGGAGCCGCTGCTCCTGCCCTGCGCGTCCGTCTCTTCCCTCCGCGGGAGCAGGGTGGGGCTGCTGCCGCCCACGGCCTGGGGGTGCGACGTGGCTCCCTGGCACCTGAGCAGGGACCTGGGTGGACACTGGGGGGTCAGCGCTGCACATGGGGGAGAAGCAGGGGTGCCCCAGCATGAGAAGGGGTGAAGCCCTCCTTCCTCTGCTTCCAGTGGGGCTCCGCATGGAGGGGCTGGGCTTTGGGTGCGGGGGAGGGAACCCCAGAGAAGACAGCCCCTCAGAGCAATCCGCTGGGCAGGGGGCACGCCGTGCGCCGGTGGTGCCTGTGTTTCATCTGGGCCTTCTCTGCCGCGGGCCTTGGGCCTGCCGCTCCGCTCCGCTCCGGGGCACCCCGGCGTGTCGTGCTCCAGGGGAGATGAAGGATTTGAATTGAACTATTTCTGCCTCCGAAGTCCTGTGAGTTTGGGGTCCTGTCTCCTTGTGCTTGAAGCAGGAGCTGTGTGTTCGCAGTAGCTGGCAGTATCGGCCGCTGGTCTTTGGGGAGAGCGCCTCTTGCTGTGGCCACAGGCTTGCTCCATCTAGCGCTACCAGGATCCCTGGCGGTAGAAGAGGACACAGTGTAGACGTGTCCTTCACCTGGATTCAAACCCAGTTCCTACTGCGGGTGAATGTCACAGTCTTAACTCACCATCGCTCTGTGTGTCCCGCAGCCTAGCCTTGAGTTCTGAGTGGGTCTGGCACGTTTTCACAAGGCGGCCTTTTTACTGCCGGCATCGTGGGGTGGAATGCTCTGGTTTCCTGGGGATGCTCTGGGCCTCATGAGGGTGGCCCAGCTGTGCTGCTGGTGGCACTGGTCAGGGCTCCGTTGACACCCCCACCAGGCCCGTGCCTGAGACCCCACATGGAAGCCTGAGCCGGTCGGCCACTGTCTGGAGACCACGGGCCAGCGTGCGCTGCCGCCCAACCACAGACCTAGGCAGGATGGTCCTTCTAGTGGCTCCATGGGACCTGCAGAGATGGCCTCTGTCCCTTTCTTCGAGGCAGGGGCCATGGTCAGGAGCAGGAGGACTGCCCAAGGGTGCAGAGAGGTAACAGGGCCAGGCCTCTTTCCTGGCTGGCCTCGGCCCTTTCCTGAGTGGGCTGTCCTTGCCCCCAGGGGCACCTCCTGATGGCTCGGTGACCAGTGCCCACGCCAGCCACGTGGCCCAGCGCCCCATCCCTGCAGCCTCTGCCTCTCTGGAGGCTGGACTCCTCACCTGGCTTCCAGTGAAGCCAGCATGGGGTCTTAGTGACCACTGGAGGGGGGCAGCGGCCATCTACCCCCCACACCTCTGGGCCTGGGCTCCCTGGGGCTCGCCCTTGGGGTATCCTCAGGGTCACATTCTGTAATTCCTTCTGTTGTCTTGATTTGCAGATAGTATTGAAGCCAGCCTTGAGGCTGCGTCCTCGCACACAGAGGCGGCCAGCGAGCTCCTGGCTGGAGCCAGCCGGCACCAAGTAAGTCAGTATGAGGGAACAGCACGGCTGGCCCGCGGCCCCCTCTGTCCTGTCTCCCTGGGAGGCCTAGGCCCTGCCCAGTACTTGGGAGGGGCACGCCCACAGGATTTTCTCTGAGTCAAGGGGGACTGGTGCAGGGGAGGGGAGAGGACTGCGGGGTCTGCACCCAGAGTGCTGTGCACCGCCACCTGCTGTCTGCACCCCTGCTGAGGCTGGAGGGCACGGAACGGGTCATGAGTGTGAGCAGGACCACGGGGGGCATCTCACTGCCGTGGGTGCTGGGCACAGCCGTGGTTGCCCGGGAGCACACTCACCAGCCTGCCTTTCCAGAAAGCTCTGTGGCTTCTCTTTTGCCCGGAAGGGCAAGCTGGGTCTGGTGGTGTCTGTCCCCTTCCTCTGACCCTCCTACTCCTGCATCAGCTGCCCAAGCACCTGTGTGGCTCAGGGCTGCCTCTGGCCTGGCTCTGGTCTGGAGGCTGGGGTGGGCCCTTCCTTCTTGGAGCCATCGGAACTTGGCTTGGGACAAGTTGGCTGGCTCAGGGAGTGAGAGCAAATATCAGGCCTTTATTTGCTTGTGATGGGGCTTAGAGCAGCCCTGGGGACTGACGGCTGGGCCCCCGTGCTAACCCGCCGCCGCCGCCGCCACGTGAGCACCTGATCAGGCCAGCTCCAGCTGGGAGGGAGGGCTGGGCAGCCATCCTCCACTCACTCCTCACTCACTCACCAGTCCTCTGCTCCGTGCTGGGCTCTGACACACAGAGATGGACACTGTAGAGCCTGTCTCTCCATGAGTGGGCATCCCAGGGGGAGGGTGGGATGGACGGTCCGGTCCAGTGAGAGGTGGGGCAGGGAGAGTTTCCTGGGAGAGCGCATGCTCTATCTTGAAGGCCAGGTAGTAGTTGTCCTGGTGGAAAGGACAGCGTGCTCAGAGGCCGAAGGAGGAACCACCCAGGCAAGGTCAGGAGTGTGAGCACTGTGTGGGGGCCGCGGTGGGCAGGAGCAGGGCAGAGCGTTCCAGGGGATGATGCCCTTATTCCCTGGGGTCTCTGGGAAGTCAAAGCTGTGTTGGCTTTCCCTCTTCTCCATCAACGGCCCTCAGTATGAAAAGTCGGGGTGACGGAGGGTCAGCTGCACATGAGAATGGGCGAATGCTGCACCGGGAGAAGAAACAGGCTGCGCCAAGGTCTCGTCTGCAGGATGGGAGCAGAGGCAGGCTGACGTCAATTCGGTGCTCACTGCCTGGCCCATGGCCCCTGCCACCTTACAGCACACTGAGGGCAGCTAGGCCCTCCACCTGGGACCTCTCCACCAAGCTTAGTCCTCCCGGAGTGGAAGGTACAGTTTGCAAATGACAAGCAAGACAGACTTGCCTGAAGCTCAGGGCCGGGCCTCTCTGATGGGAACTCTTCCAAGTGGTGGGGCCTGCCGGTCGCCCTCACCAACAGCCGCATCTTGAGAGGGAAGCAACAAGTCCGCAGGGCGGCTGCCTCCATGAATATCCAGGGCCACCAGGTCGGAAGGATCGGTAGATGCCAGGAGCACAGAAGGAAGATGTGACAGTGAGGAAGAGGAGCAGCAGCAGGAGGAGGTTGAGGCTGCATGGGTGGCCACCTGTGTCCATGGACACCTCATCAGGCTCAGACCCCATCCCCTGTCCCATTCCCAGGGAGCTCATTGGACCCTGCCCACTATCACTACCCCATTTCCATTGCTAAGCAGTAACTCCTGTGCCATAGGTGAGGTGAGCGAGGCTCAGACCCAGGAGGTAAGCCCACAGTTGCTGCCACATAGGAATGTCCTCCCACTCCTCTCCACCAGCATGTTGGGACGTGTCCAGCAAGACAGGACATGGCACAGCCCCATGTTTCGGGTCCAGTTTTTCCCTGGGACATTGGCCAGTGTACCCCCCACACCCTGACAGGAGGAAGGGTTAGACATCCCTACAGCCAGACACTGGGGATTGGAAGTCCAGAGGAGAGAAGGGTTTCCCAAAACTGCATGGCTGTCAAGAGGCAGAGCTGGTTTTGGACCCTAGGCTCTAGGATTTCATGTCCAGGGCTTTTCCTGCTGCCTTGGGGAAACTCTGGTACACTCTCTCAGCCTCCTAGAACATCCACTTGCTGGAGGAGTGGACCCAGAGATCCATGGATAGGTGCCTGGATGGATGGAAGGATGGATGATTGGGTGGGTGGGCAGAGGCGAGGGCAAATGGATGGGTGGATGGAGGATGGACAGATGGGTGGGTGGATGGAGGATGGATGGATGGGTGGACAGAGGCATGGATGGATGGATGGATGGGTAGACAAGAGGCACAGGTAAATAGATGGGTGGATGGAGGATGGATGGATGCATGGATGCATGGATAGATGGGTGGGTGGACAGAGGTGTGGATGGATGGGTGGACAGAGGCGTAGATAAATGGTTGGGTGGATGGAGGGTGGACGGGTGGATGGGTGGAGGATGGATGGATGGATGGATGAATGGGTAGATAAGAGGCATAGGTAAATAGATGAGTGGATGGATGGGTGAATGGAGGGTGGATGGATGGGTGGACAGAAGTGGATGGATGGGTGGACAGAGCCATAGCTAAATGGCTGGGTGGATGGAAGATGGATGATGGATGGATGGGTAGACAGAAGTGTGGGTGAATAGATGGGTGGATGGAGGATGGGTGGGTGGATGGAGGATGGACAGATGGATGGGTGGACAGAGGTGTAAGTAAATGGGTAGGTGATGGATGGGTGGATGGATGGATAGAAGATAGATGGGTGGATGGAGGACGGATCATGAATGGGTGGGTGGATGGAGGATGGATGGATGATGGATGGGTGGACAGAGGCGTGGGTAAATGGGTAGATGGAGGATGAATGGATGATGGATGGATGGGTTGACAGAGCCATGGATAAAGGGGTAGACAGATGGAGGATGGATGGATGAATGGATGGGTGGATGGAGGATGGATGGATGGAGGTATGAGTAAATGGATGGATGGATGGGTGGACAGAGGCATCAGTAAATGGGTGGATGTAGGATGAATGGATGATGGATGGATGGTGGACAGAGCCATGGATAAAGGTGTAGGTGGATGGAGGATGGATAGGTGGATGGAGGATGGATGGATGGATGGATGGATGGATGGATGGATGGAGGTGTGAGTAAATGGACGGTTGGGTGGGTGGACAGAGGCATGGGTAAATGGATGGGTGGATGGATGATGGATGGATGGATGGGTGGACAGAGGCGTGGGTAAATGGATGAGTGGCTGGAAGATGGATGGGTGGATGGAGGATGGGTGGATGGAGGTATGAGTAAATGGATGGATGGATGGGTGGACAGAGGCGTGGGTAAATGGGTGGATGAAGGATGGATGGACAGAGCCATGGATAAAGGGGTAGGTGGATGGAAGATGGATGATGGCTGGCTGGATGAATGGATGGGTGGATGGAGGATGGATGGATGGATATGTGAGTAAATGGATGGGTGGGTAGACAGAGGTGTGGGTAAATGGATGGGTGGATGGGTGATGGATGGATGGTGGGTGGACAAAGGCGTGGGTAAATGGATGGGTGGATGGAGGATGGATGGGTGGATGGAGGATGGATGGACAGAGGCATGAGTAAATGGATGGATGATGGATGGATGATGGATGGGTGGACAGAGACATGGATGGATGGATGGGTAGACAAGAGACATAGGTAAATAGATGGGTGGATGGATGAATGATGGATGGATGGGTAGACAGAGATGTGGGTAAAGGAGTAGGTGGATGATGGCTGGGTGGGTGGGTGGATTAGGGATGGAGGGATGGTGGGTGGCTGGATGGGTGGGCAGAGGTGTGGGTAAATGGATGGGTGGGTGGAGGATGGATGAGGATGTATGGATGGATAGACAGAGGCATAAGTAAATGGGTAGGTGGATAGATGATGGATGGGTGGGTGGATGGATGGATGGAAGATGGGGGATGGATGATGAATGGATGGATGGATTGAGGATGGACGGATGATGGATGGATGGTTGGACAGAGCCATGGGTAAAGGGGTAGGTGGATGATGGCTGGATGGGTGGATGGATGGATGGATGGACGATGGATGGATGGATGGACAGAGGCATGAGTAAATGGACTGATGGATGGGTGGACAGAGTTGTGGGTAAATGGATGGATGATGGATAGATGGGGGGTGGATGGATGGGTGGACAGAGGCGTGGGTAAATGGGTGGGTGGATGGGGGATGGATGATGGATGGATGGATAGATGAGTATAAGGAAGGAGAATGAAAGGAAAAGGATGGAGGATGGATGAAGAAATTGATGGGCAGATAGATGAGGGGGTGGTATTGTGGATGAACAGATAGACAGGATGGTGGATAGACAGGGGCCAGCTGGATGGATGTGTGGACGAATGGCAGCATGGAGGCTGGGCACCGAGGCTTTGCAGTTCCCAGGCTGAGGTTTGGACCTCAGTGTTACTGGGAAGACTCAACTTGTGAGTCCTCCTATTTTCCTCGTGTGAGTGCTGCTGCCCACCACAGAAGGGCATTGGGAGACCTAAGTAGCTCCGTGTGCAGAGGGCCTCCCCATCCATCACCTCTCTGCCCCTCCAATGTATTGCCCCAGTCGTGGCTGCTGGAGGCTGACGTTTCCTGTCTCCCTCCACCAGCGGACGAGGAGGATGAGACCCCCAGCTGCCTCTGGCTACCCCTGCGGACCCTGGAAGGGCCGAGCCTGCCTGAACCTGACCCCTTGGACCTACGAGGAACTATCCCTGCGCCTACCTCCTCGCCCTCCCCACCGGCCTCCCCAGCCTCCCCAGCCTCGGTGCCTCCTGCGGCTGCGTTCCCAGGGGCTCTTGGGCCCTCCCCACCCTCCACTGCACCACCCCCACCCCCTGGGAGGCCCGCGGGGGAGGCCTCCGAGTTTGAGCAGCGGTTGCTGGACTCCCATCGGCGACAGGGTGCCCTGCTCTCCCACTGGTCCCAGCAGCAGAGCGCACTGATGGCCCAGCAGAACCTGCTGCTGCAGAGGCTGGTGGAGCAGAGCCAGCGGCTGGCCGACGGCGTGGAGGCCCTCAACCGGACCCTCGAGAAGCTGGTGGAGGCCTGCCCAGGGCGGGGATCCTCGCCCCCTGTTGTGGATGGCACCCCTTCTGGCGGAGCGGCCTGTGGGCCCACCAGAGGCTCCCAGAGCAGCCCCCAGGGCCCCCACCCGGGCCTGGAGGTCTTCTCAGGGATGATCCTGAAGGTGGAGGAGGAGGTCTAGGGTCTGGCCCCCAGAGGACTGCACACAGCAGGGACTCCAGCCCTTCTGGGAGGTGGGCTGGGCGATAGCCGGGCAGAGTTGGGGCCTCGACGGAGCCATCGAGGACAAAGGACACCCTCATAGGCATTGTCTGTGGGGCTCAGTGACATGCAGGGAAAGGCTCTGGGGCCGGTCTGTGGGTCCTGGGCAGAAGTTACTCAGGGACGTTGTGGCTGGAGGAGGCGGACGGGCGCTGGCTGAGCCCAGCCTCCGCTCCCCATTCCATGCTCTCACCGGCTGCACTGAGTGCCTTGGAGGCCAGCGCCGGCACCTCCCTGTGGCTGCACGCCTGGGGTGCCCCCCGGAAGCCACCTCCTCCTGCTCCTCCTGGATGTGTGGGGTCTGCGGGCTGGGCTCCGGCACTTTCCTTGATTCTGCCAAGGGCACCACGTCTCGTGGGCCTGTAGTCATTTCTCCCAGTTTAGATCTGTGGTGTGAGAGACACATGGACGCGTATGTGTGACTTGGTACTGTATGGGGGGATGCCATTTTGTACCTCCTGATTTTCTTGCAAAAAAAATATTTTTCTTATATAAGCATAAAATAATGAAAAAGTCAGGAACCGTAATGATGATGCTTGCCAACAAACGAGATAGAGTCCAGTCCTGTTCTCGCAGATGGGCTGTGCCTCTGTGCTCAGCCCTGGCAGGGAGCCCCGAGCACTTGCTGGGTTTTCAGATCTGCTCCCTCTGTGACCTCCTGTGCCCCTCGTGGGGTCCCTCAGGGAGCTGGTGTTCCCCCCCCAGCTGTCACACAGCGGCAGCCACACAGCTCGGGAGGCTGTTGGGGGCCAGCAGGAGAGGACAGGGCTCCCGAACCCCAGGGCCTCGCCGGTCCTGGGCCTTGTGCCCTCTGCCCGTCTCCCCTTGACCTTCTTCTGACCGCTGTGGATAAAAGCCTTCTCCAGAAGCAGGAGCCCGAAGTATTGGTGTGGGCGGGACGGTGTGCTGGTTCCCGGGCCCCAGGGAAGCCCAGCACTGAAGAGAGCCAAGACCAGTGTCTCAGGCACATGGGGTGGGACCCTCTGGTTTTCCGGGTTCACCATGGACCAGCAGCGTGTCAGTAACTTTGTCTATGGAAGAGAGCCTAAACTCTTCAGCCATTCACCCAGCTGCTCCCTGCGACCTGGCCCTGCCACCCTCCCAGCCTCCTCTCCCTCTCTGGGGAAAAACGGTGCCATTTGCTCTCCATGGCAGCCTTACTCACATGGCTCTGCCCTGGAAAGCCTTCCTTCTACTCTAGAACCTCAGTTCCGTCTCCGTGCCAACTGTCAGCCTCATTAATCTTCATTCGGGTGGAAGGGATGGACTCTTCTTGTCCACTCAAAGATGCCCACTAGGTTGGCATTCACCTCCCTACTGGCTACGAACACTGCTTCCTCGCAATACAGTCTGATGCCTTCTCCAGTCTCAGACTGAGCCCTGAGCCAGTTACTCGCTGAGCCCTGAGCCTGGTCACACTCTGGGCCCTGAGCCTAGTCACGCGCTGAGCCCTGACCCTGGTAACATGCTGAGCCCTGACCCTGGTCACACTCTGAGCCCTGAGCCCAGTCACATACTGAGCCCTGACCTTGGTTACACGCTGAGCCCCGATCCCTAGTCACACTCTGAGCCCTGACCCTGGCCACGATCCTGGTCAGACTCCAGACCCTGAGCCTGGTCACACACTGGGCCCTGATATCAGTCACACTTCTGAGCCCTGATCCCAGTCACACTCTGAGCCTTCATCCTAGTTATACTCTGGGCCCTGATCCTGGTTACCCTGAGCCCTGACCCCGGTTATATTCATCCTCATGGGTGCTGGAAGCATCTGTGTCCAATTTCCTCTTTTTGGGAGCTGCAGATGTGGCAAACGTGGCTCTGTGCTGACTGGCATTTGGCCGGCAGGCTATGAGAGCAGAAACAACCCAGGGGTGGGTGCCCCCAGCTCAGCCTTGCTGTTCTAGCCAGAGGCAGGCTCCAGCTCTGTGTCTGACTTCCTGGCTACCTCACCCCAGAGGGACAAGCCATGGATGGCTGTCAC